AGAAGTCTATCCGGATCAGACCTGAAAAAAATAGAAATCGGCAAGATGGAGGAATTACCCTCCCGAGCTGCTGAAGTCTCGGGAAGGAACAGTCAATCCAGGTAAAGGAGAAGATATGAGGAAGTGAAATGTTGATGGCAAACATATCCAACCAATGACATCCACAGGCTAAAAGGAAGAGGAAGTATGCCATAATGGATAAATGACACATAGAAATAAAAGACAAAGTTTCAACTGGAGGTAAAGTAAGACAGTGAAGTACCACACTGACATCCCAATCCAAAAGGGCTGCATGCCACAGAGGGTGACTAATCTGGAAGGAATGTAACAAAAGTGACAGGGTATGGGAGGCAAAAAGTTTATGGTACCAGGAAAACAAATGTGTGGGATAAGGCTGCCCAATAACCTGCAATCGAGGAGACCAAAGACCCCTGATCAAATATATATGTGAGAAAATCTGTAATAAGAAGAACAGTGGGATGAGCAGGGAAGAACCCACAACCCAAAGAATAGTGGCGAAAAACGTTCCACTTACATTGATAAACCTCCTTGGAACAAGATCGAACTGAACATGCCAACAAGGAAGCTACTCACCATGATAAGCCAGATCTCCACCCCAAGGACCAGATAAAAACCAGGCGTGAAGACAAAGGGTAGGAATGAGGGGATGAACTACCTGGGACTGAGGCTGCCATAGAAGGGACGGAGTGCTGGGAAGTGGCAAAGGTGTAGAAGATTGGATCTGGAGAAGCTGCAAAAACTATGGCTGGGCCAGCCAGAAAGAGGCAGTCAGAAGGACTTGACATGGAGTGGATGATAGAAATCACCCTGGAAAAGAGTCAGATACACATAAAGGAATTTGTCTGTCCAATCCAGACTGAAATCCAGAGCAAGTGGATGAAGCACCAGAGACCAAAACTGAGACCAGATAGTGGTAAATGCATCTAGGTGCAGTACCCAACTTAGTGCATAACCACTGGAAAACCTGAAGATCTAGAGACTACTCCTTTTGGATAAATTTTGTCTGGGCAGGATAGATGATCTGCAGTAAGATTGAAAGCACCTGAAAGTAGATGAATATTGTGAGTGCAGGCTCAAAAAAGGAGATCCAACATTCATCAACAAAGGAAATGGATGCCTCCCTAGTGATTGATATATGCCATCACTGTAGAATTGTCTTTATGGATTATAACCAGATGAATGCGAGCAAGAGGAAGAAAATGATCCAAAGACCGTTGGACAGCAAGAAGCTCCAGGATATTGATATGGTAAGATCATTTGGTTGTAAATCATTGACCTGAAACAACTTGCTGCTTGACTCATGCCCCCCAGCTGTGAAGCAAAGTGTCTGTGAAAATATGTAAATTTGGATGATAGTGAGGAAATGGAACCCCCTCCGAAGTATGAGCCTTGTCCAACCACCAATGCAGATCATCTACAAGGGAAGGAGGAAGGATAAGAGAGAGAGAAATATCCAAGGGATCCTGCTCAAGTTTCCATTTGTTGTGAAGAGTCCTATGAAGGGATCTCATATGAGCACGACCTACGGGGATAAGGGCCACATCCCCAAAAGAGATAGGACCTTGCAAGCAGTAAAGACATTAATAACTTCCAGCTTCATCAAAGGAGTCAAAGAGGAGAAGGTTGGGCACGACTGAGATGAGTTTTGAACAAAACACCCAAATGGATAAGATATTGGGTAAGAACAAAAAAAAGGATTTCTCCAACTTGATCAACAAACCAACCTGAGCCACCTCCAAAAGATGCAGACGAGTGTGTCGGGCAGACTTTAGTTTGGAATGAGCCAACAGAAGCCAGTCATCCATGTAATGGTGGAAGTGCAACCCTCGAGTATGCAAAAGTCTGGCAAAAGCTTTGACCACCCCAAAAAAAGACATATGGTGCCACAGTAGGCCCAAAAGGAAGAGCACAAAATTGATAAACCACCCCGTAGTGAACAAACTGAAGATAGTATCTCAACCTCTTTGATATGGGAATATGGAGATAACCATAAACATGGAGAAAAACCCCACTTGAGAGTGACAAACAACTCCATGGTAAAATGAGGTAGCACCAAGAAGTGATTGTGGCATGACAGATTGATCACAGGCCACCAGTTTCCAGTTTTCTTGGGGACAACAAATATCCTGGAATAAAACCCCGGAGAAGGGTTAAGCACAGGTTTGATGGCATTCTGAGAGAGTAGATCTTGAATTGCCTCAGACAGATGCTGACATGTGGTAGGATTCCGAGGCAATGAAAAGGAAATGGGTATCTGAAAAAACAGAGGAGGGAAGAGGAAATTGATGACAAGTCCCTCAGAAAAAACCTGAAGGATCCATAGATCCCTGGTGAAGTCTCACCATAGATGAATAAATTGGGATAAAAGATACCCTAAAGGGCTGGAGCCAACAGGATAGTCATCAATACATACTGTTGGTGGCATGATGCTCGGCATCGAATAAATTGACAAGAAGAAAATCCCCTAGTGGAAGGAACAGGTAAGGGTTGGGAAGAATTAGGATTGGGAACAAAAATAGGGGATGGACGAGGCTCCATGCAAGATAAACAATCAACCAACGAGGAAAGAATATATTGCTTTCTCACAGATTCCGCTCGGGATTCCAAAGTAGCTGGAAGATCTCCAAACACAGACTGATAAATAAAAAGGGCCAGGTGTAAGTCCCTAAGATAAGAAAATGGCAAAAGAATGGGGAGAAAAAGCATCTCTCCCCAAAAGATCCCAACAACAGAGGAACCATGTGTGTAAAGAAACAAGGATGTAATTAGGGTAAATATATCCCCTGCAAAACCCTCAGGATCTCGGTGGATTGCCTTGAAGAGGAGATGTATGGTGGAGAAGTACCATAAGATAGACGTGAGAGTAAGGCAAAGGCAAGAAAACTGGCCATGGGATAAAAGAACAGGACAATCAGGGTCCACCCCACAATCAAGGAATGGAAAATTGGTCTGATGGTAGTCTAAAGCAAAATGATCCAAAGCCCAGAGAGGGCAATGCATGCCCACACCATCACATAACTGCAATACAAAATGCTCATCATGAACCCCAATATAAGATGGCGGAAACACAAAATACTGAGAGGATGGAGTATCTTGTAACAAGGAAGGTAGAGTATTATAGAAAATCGGGAAAGGCATAAAACAGAACATACCTGGAAATTCAGGTCCAAAAAAACCGTATTAAGCCTAACATAACCCACAGTAGGAACTTGGAAACACATAGCAAATTCAGGAGGAGTAAAAAAGGCTGCCAAATAAATGTTTTGTTTTCCCAAACAGGTTTGGCTTGGTCAGGAAGAAGTTGGGCAACATCAGGAGAAGAAGGTTGGTTAAAATAAAGACCAATCTCAAAGTCGAGTTCCCTCCCACTTGAAGTCTGAGTAAATGTGCTTCTATTAGGTACAACCTCCTATGTGGTAACTTGCATTTCAAAATTCATAATGCAAATAAAACCAAACACAACCGTGTTTGTAAAGAAAGAAAAGTACAGAATAATGATTAAGTACCATAACTGGGTAGAAAATTAAATAATATCATGATGAAATGAGGTACAAATAACAACTATTTAGAATAAGTAGGAAACTGTAAAATAAATTATAAGAAAATTCAAAATTCGAAGAGAGAACTAAATAAAATGTTCGAAAATGAGAAGTGATAGTTAGGTAGAATAGCATAGAAGGAGTCACTAGTGTGGGAAGCAAGTCTATTGATGTAGGTTTATCCAATGACAATTTGCATGCATTAATCAGTTAATCCATGTGAACTGAGGGATACATGGAAGTGAAAGGCTTGTGGCATGTGTAAAAAGTTTTGCAAAGAGAGGGCAGTACTGAGCGCGAATAGCTATGTATGTGAGTGGAAGTAAGTAAGTACCTGTCCATAATATATTTTCAGTGTAGGAAAATTATAACTTTTGGCCTTTGCTTTTTTTGATGATCAGGTAAATTTGTTAATTTAATGTTTCCTTTTTTGAATAAATTTTGTTTTATATTATGTTGAGGGTTTAATACTTGGTGGAGAATTTTTTAAGAAAATTTTATAAACAAGGGCAGCGCTGAATGATAATAGCTATGTATGTGAGGGGAAGTAAGGTTCCTTGTCGGAAGAACTGTTTTAATGAATATAACAGAGTATATCTCATTGATGAATGAAGGATTAAGTGACCCAAAGTTAAACTTCAAAACTGTGAGAACCTCAACAGTTGATATAAAATACAAATGAACAAACATTCAAAAGTACTTGACAAAGAAGGTTGCACAACCAGTTGAGCTCAGAATCTGGCTACAGAACTATACTCTTATCGGTTGACAAAAATTCATAAAACATGTATGAAATTAATTTCATAATGTCAACCTATTCTTACTTTAATTATAATCTTGGAAAATATCTGACCTAGATTATTTCAACATACAACAACTTAGATAATACCATCAAAACATCCCACATTTTGTTGATTCCTTAATTCCAAAATTGGAACCAAAACACAAAATGGCAAATTTAATGTATAAAATCTATATACCCAAATTCTAAAAGAAGAAGTTTACAAATATGCTAATTAAATTATTATCAAAGACCCAAAATGGAAAATTTCCACATCCTCATGAAATCTTCTAATCTTGTTTAACCCTTTAGGCACACCCACAAATAATGCATTTTGAATTTCCTGCTAGTAATGCAAACTGAGCTCACAAAATCAACAAAACAAGCCCATTCTACACAGATGACGATCTTATTTGCTGATTCGTATCCAACATGGCATATGTTGCTATTCGAAACATCAATAATATTTGCAGGAGAAAATTATTTAAATTTTATGAGATAATGTACTCAGTGTTTCCACATTTAAACCTGTGCAAGAAGACAATGATCCTGGCTCTGAACACGCATTATCTGATGATAATTTTGGGCATGATATATCTTAAAAAAAAAGTACATACCTAAAGGATTAACCTTGCCACAAAGTTCTGTTTGAAATTCAATCAACAATGTTTGTTAGAGTTAAATACTATCAAGTGCACTAGCAATAACATTTTTAATTCATCTGGAAAACAGGCCTTAAACACAGCCATCTCAAAACCACAATATCGGTGAGATATATCAATGATGTTTTGTGGAACTTCAATCTGATGAAGAAAAAAAGAAGATTCTTAAACTAAATCAATGAAAAACAATCAAAACTCATTTTACAATTCAAAACAAAGAATATTTTCGCACAAACTTTCAAACGTCCAGCTAACATTCATAGGAAAGCAACAAATTTAGCCATTTGAAAATCTGCAAATTCCATACAACAGAAACTAGGATTCTTTAAACATATTATTCAAGTAGCTTTTAAAATATGCTCTGCAAACAATTTAGATGATAAACTACAAAGAATTTTTGTAATATTCATTCAATAAAACAAAAACTTCAATCTAACAAAAAATACAAATCTTAAAGATGAAAACAACTTCAACTTTATCACAATTACAATTACTTCTGTTGAACATATCAGCAAAAATCTAATTGGATTATAAAAATGACTCATAAAGAAACACAACATTGACATAATTACCATAGTCATAGAAAGCCAGGTATTAAAAGCAAGAATATTATTAGTAACAATTACCCCACTGAAAATAAAAACAAGTCATCTACAAAATGAAATGCAATACATGTAAGCAATTTTTATTTGAAAAACCAAGAAAGAAATGGACTTCAGACTTAAGGAAATGTTATAGAACCCTCACATGATTCTGAACAACTCAAAGAAATGTTAACACTCTCCACCTATATAAATGTGCTCGCTATCCTGGTACTTTATATAAAAACCTCATTCAGATAATGTTATTCCTTTTTATTGAAACTGACTCCATCTGCAGTCTCTAACACTGGTTCTTAGTGGGGAGGAAGGGCAGGAGATTGTGAGAGAAGGTACGTATTATTGGAAATACATTTTTGATTTAAGATGATGTTAACTTCCAAAACATACTTATCTATATGCATACTACAGCAGAAATCCCACACTGATAAAGTGGAGCGAGTGGTGAGGGCATTGTCCACACAGAAAGCATCTGTATAAATCATGGGTGATGTCAATAGAAGATTGGCACACTAATGGGGAAACTGCACTACATACAGAACAGGTATGCTCTTCACCCAGAACTTAATTCATGTACTGTGGGTGGAAATGTACATGATTTATCATTGCTATTGGCCAGGCCCAACAATTTAAAAAGCATCGGTATAGATTATGGGTGATGTCAATAGAAGATTGGCACCCTATTGGGGGATCCTTTGAAAATGAGGTAAGAGACCCTGAAAGAAGAGACAAGTGTTGCAATGAAAATACTTGCCCTTCTGTATAATCTAGCAGAAGTGGTTAAGAGAGCTGGAGGGGGTAGTCAAAAACCCTCAGATGAAGATACTGCTAGATCATGCAAATAATGTGAATAAAAGTATTGGGGGAGATCCACATACCAGCCTGCACAATGTCCTCCAGCAGGCAATTCAACTGGCCTGCTAAGGGCATAGAAATATGTCGAATCTGAGTAGAAGTGACTTGCAGAAGTCTCCTTGCATTCAAAGAGAGCCCAGAACAAGCAATATTTATCAAGTTCATACCCACCTCGTCAATGTAACCATGGGTAAATCCTGGGAAACTGAATGATCCCAATGAATGAAAAGTCATTGCCTAGCATCTCTAAAAGACATTAGTGTGGGAAACAATACCTTCAAGACCTTCACTGGACATAACAAATGATTGAGATCTGGTCCATCATAGAAGTGAGAAATAGTGATCAGATGAATCAGTGAAATAAAATTGTCCCCTACCAGTGTCTTAGGGAAAAAGAACTGGTCTGAAGACGTAGGTAAAATGATAAGGTATCCTGCACACAATCAGTACAGACCACTCCAAACCACAACATCTGTAGGCCAGCAACAACAAAGAATAAACCTTCAGGGAAAGGTGGTGTAAGTCACATGAGGCTAAGATCTCAAATGGGTGTTGAGAAAGGGCATGTAGTGTCACCTTAATGTACCAGTTAGGTAACTGTTGAGAAGTGTCCACTGTGGGACTAAGCAAAAACTGAGACAGATCCATGGCAACCTTAGAAATTAAACCCAGAGGCTGTGTGAGGGACTGCATAACCTCCATGTCTGAAGCCTGAGCTTCTGAATGGCCAGGTGTACGATATCAGATAATGGCTGCCTCCACAGAGATAGCCAAAGGGGAAGTGGAAGAGGTGGGCACTCCTGAAGGTTCCACAGAAGCAGGAACCAGGGTTTAGCTGCCAATCTGGTGCTATCAACAGAACCCAACAATGTGTTGGAATGAATCATAGCTAGTACTTTGGGTAACATACGAATTGGAGGGCAGGCCTAGAGTTGTAATCCCATCCTTTCTTGATTGAATGCATCTATTGCAAAAGCCAGAGGATGAGGTAGTGGAGCCCAAATTGCCAGTAGTTGGGTGTTCCAATGACTGGCCAACCTATCAATCTCCAGTGTTTCAAAGTGATAGACAATCCAACAGAAATACCTCGTGATGTAACATCTATTCTATTGAGAGAATCTGTTTGGGTCAAGACAATTAATCTGCTACCAAAGTCATCACCTGTGGAACATGGCAAGCTAGTATGGTGATATGATTGGAGTGGTCCCGAGAAATGAGATCCAAGGTTCCAAAACAAAGACCCCTTGATGGGAAATGTAAGACATCACTGTGGAATTGTCGGAGTGAAGCCTGACGATTTTCCCCTAAATAAGTCCAGACAATATTTATGATATGGCTCAGTAAAAGGTTGTAACTGAGCCAACAAACTTGGGTGGTTGGGATTTAGTGGTGCCATAGGTGTGAAAGTGCTTATGAATATCCTGTTTCCTATTTTACCATGCTTATACAGTAACCAATAAATGAATAGTTTCAAATATTTTGAAAGGTACAGTGAGGTTTCAGTTACCATACATTTCATATGTATATACATATTATTTTTACTATTTACAAATAAATATTTTTTCTTAAAACATATAACAGTAAATAAAAATATTCGGGAAACAATTATCTCCACTACTTATGATGTTTTGATCTTTTTTCCACTCGTGAGTCATGCTTGCTAACCCTCATCATAAGCCTTGTCCAAATTCACATGTTGATGTAGAAAAAAAATAATTTTTGTAGACTTTATTTATGCATTTTTGAATATCAAAAAATTATAAGTGACTAGACCAATACCACAAAAATCTATTGGATTTTACCAGGCTTCTTAACTATGCAGCATTTGGGTCTAAAAAAATATCTAACTGATCAAAAATACCTCAAACTCTCCAACAATATAAGAGCTTTTCTCTCGTAAATAACTTAGAAAGACTATCAGAATTACGTAAAGGAAATGCAGAGCTTTTGATTAGTTATAAACTTATAGGTATAAATAAGCAGGTGTAAATAAACAAGGCTTCTCAAATGATGAAGTGGTGGGCAGAGACAATATGGTGGATTCGATAAATATTATGATATCTGAGCAAATAGAAAAATTATGAAGTTCTTATTTTATATTCTAGCTTGCCAATATCGGAAATTTGAGTTTATAATTCATATAAAACTATAGACATTGTATTGTGGGTGTCATAAAATGTGATCTGACCAAAACCAGAAGATGATGCACCAGTGTGACACAACAAAATCGAAATTTAATTTTTTTTATTATATTTACTTTCAAATTAAAAAATTAACTAGTGTATAATACTAAAATTTGAATTAAAATCTACAATTTTATACCAAGTTTATTGACATACATTCATAAAATAGTAGTTCAATAAAATTTTGAATGTAAGTCTACAAATGTGATGACATGTACTCTGACCCTTAGTTACCCATAATGATAAGGATAACTCTTAACTCTCGTACCCGACCCTTGTGTACAAAAACGCCAATAGTGGTGGGACATGGCAACATGCAGATAGGAGCTGACGACATTGAACTTGGATATCTACAATCCTTTTAAAAAATGCCAACTCAGTGTGAAGAATGAAACACTTTTGAACCCTGGAATATCTAGGAATTGATATAGATGAGAAAGAACTGATGTCTGGATGCCAGTATCCTGTCTTCATGGGCTAAACAAACTGATGGGAATAAATCCTGGAAGAACTGGCATGGCTCTCTTTATACCCCCAGATCAATCAACTCTAATAGCTCTAGAATTAAGTTCCAAAATCCAAGGATCTGTGGGAGGTGAAAAAACTGCAGGTTGGGTGGATAATGGTGGTGAAGATGTGAACAGAATGACTAATTCTTACTCAAGGACCTATAGTACCCAGGGATCCATGGTTAAGATTTACCATACATCCAGAAATTGTTGGAGCTGAGACCCCACAGAACCCAAAGCATAGAATAGTAACCATCCCTGCTGATGGTGTTCCTATCGAGCAGCAGAACCCTTGGATATGGACAGAATCTACTCTGGGTAGGAATCAACCAAGGGGCTGATGTTTGGGGTCGAGACCCTCGAATAGGGGTGAAACTATGATCCTCTGTAGGAGCCGAGAAAACTGGAGATGACAACGACAACAGGGATGAAAGTAGAAGCTGACAACTGAACCACTGTGCATGCTAACAATGGCCTTAGCTCATCATTAATGGACTTGGTGATCCTGAGAATCTTTCAATAAAGTTTAGAGGAATAATAAATAACTCAGTACCATATATAGGGTGAGATAAACCCTAAAAAGTTATGATTTATTCAGGTTAACTACAGATTCTACTCTAGAACCCCAAATTTTCAGGAGCAGATGTATTATTTGAGAGTCCGAATATGCTTCCATCTGGTGGTAATAGGCTAACTCACATAATTCCAACAACCGTGGTGGACAAGGCATAGCTGTCCTTTCATGTAACTGAGCAGTAAACCTCCCTGCATGAACCACAATGTCAGTGGATGGCGGTAAACCTAAGTATTTGCTCCCAGACCTTTCAGCCATCAAGTACGGTGCAGGCTCAAAAGCAACTGGGGAAGGACCAAAAACATCACACATGTGATGGACCAACTGACTAAAAGATGGCTAAGGTAGCTTATCCCAATGTGGACTTCTGAGAAACCAACAGAATAAAGGAAGGTGCAGGAAAATGCTAATCTAAATTATCTCAAGAATGTCCAGTATTGTCCTCAATTGCAGCCTCAGAGCCCTCTGGAGGAACACCATCGAACCGAATACATGTCTCCTTCTCACTATAAATAAGATCACTGACAGTCTCAACTAAAGAGTGACTCCCTCTCCCTCCATTATTGAGCAATGCTAAATATCAGAGGTGGGATAGGAGAGACCTGATTTGCCTCCTTGCCAGAAATAACAATCCAGAAATTCATGGCATATATCAGCTTGCCAAATGAAAATCAACAAGGTAACGTAAAAAATACTCAAAGTATCTCCCACGATTGTAATACAGAGAAACCCGTTAGTGAATGCTTTCCCAAGAAAAAGTGATAACATTGTCTGAATGAAGTGCTTATATACAGTACCAGGATACAGGTTGCATTGACATAGGTGGAAAGTGTCACAAGACAAATATCACCAAGGGCAATTAAGAGGGGTATAAAAGACTGGAGAAAAAGTGAGAAAAAAATCAGACCAATGCTTAGATGGGTAAAGGAAGAAACACTGGCAGTCAAGTAATAGTTGTAGTGTGAGGGAAGGTAAGTAAGTTCTCTGGAATTCAACTGCTTTTTTTATAATGTAACTCTTACTTGATGATTCAATACGATGGATCAAAATGTTTCTGTTATTGTACTTTTAATTAATTATTTGGGGGTTTATTCAGACTGATCATTGGTGTACATAATCTAGTGATTGTGGAATATCACACTAGTTCTTTGGTCTGTTTGCTTGTTTATTGTTAAGCTATCCGTGCTCTACCCATCAAGGATATCGAAACCCAATTTTTAGCATTGTAAATACTGAGCCACTGGGGGGGGTAACTCTGGTCTAGCTTGGATCTCATTTGATTCCTCTCTTCATCTAATATAGATGCATTTGGATCCTGCTCTCTACTCCATAAATCAATTGCAGTCTTCCATTGAACAAAGTTGACTTACCATTTACACTCACATTGCATGATATAGGTAAATATTCTACTTTATTCTGTACATTTGTTTTCATTTGTATTTCCTTTGCTGTCTGTGTTCAAAATTATTCTCAACAAAAAATTACTGGATTATAAATTTTTATGGATACTTGAATTTATTAGTGTACCTTTATATCACAGAGTTAAAAGTATATGCTCATTATGAATTATTATAAGTTAACTGAAAGTACAATTATGTTTATTATTATATAATTATAATAATTTTTTTACTTGATGTTGTTTAAGGATGTGAAGTAGTTATTATTTTCATTTCATATTCATGGAATGAAGATGAATGGTTATGAATACTTCATTAAGGGGTAGTTTGTTTCAATTTTTGATAAAGCACCACAAAAGCTAATTCTGTCCCTGATATGAAAGTTAGAATATTTGAAGAAAACAAACAAAAAAGTGACCACTGTACCTTGTAGTTAGTTAGTTCTTTCTGTTTTTCCTTAAAGATGTCTGGGAAGAGTCCAGCATAATTAGTCTCTAACATGTTTTTAGACTTTTCTTCAAGAAGCTGCTGTACTTGTTTTTGGTACTTTAACAGGGAATTCTCATCATGAAAATTACTCTCTGTTCGAGTCACAGGTAGACTGAAGGTGTAATCCTGTAAAATTTATAGACATTTAATAAAAGAAAAACACAAAACTGATCATTCAATAATTATCTAGTTAAAGAATGAGCTTCTAGTATTGATGATTCAGGCTTTCTTTTGAAAACACAACCTATAATTTGAAAATATTTTATTATATAATGAGGAGGGATCAGAAATACCTGCTTTGTAAGCTCAATACATTAATATTTTTAACTAACATTCTTTTTATGTTATATACAATTAAAGGGTGTTCCACGACAGTATACACATTTATGTTCAGAGCAGAACAGATATTACTAGCTAAGGTTACACTGTTGAATATATTATATATGAAAAATGGTCAAATCACAAACTATTTGATTTTAAGTCTGATATTACCTGAGTATAAAACCATATACTCTATGGCCCTTTTTTCTATTACTTTAGTTATCTTATATCTCAAATCTATTGCATTCAGTTGTAATTGGAAATAAGTCACAGCCATTGGACAAAACAAAAGTACTTTTTTCTTTTGTGCTCTACTTACTCCTTTCAGTATCATGTTAGATGCAAACATCCTTCGATGGCAAGATGTGACATTTCAGCAGTTATTATTCTCACATTTTTAGCTGTTTCTTTAACACCATTAATCCAACACTTTCTTGGACTTATTCAACTTCTACTTCCTGCTAGATGTAAAGTATTTGTTCTTACTGGTAGCTGCTCTGGATTCTTTCACACCAAGTGACTGAACCATTTCAACCTATGCTTTTCTATGTATTTCAATAATGGTTTCACTCCAAGCTATTGTCTGATTGTTTGATTTCTTTCTTTACCTAATCTCGTCTTACTTAAAGCTTTATGGGAATATCTCATTTCACATAATGTTATTCTTGGTTCAGTTCTTGACTGATGGTCCATGTTTGGCATTGGTATGCTAGAATTGGTGTAAACACAGTGTTAATAAGTGTTCTCTTAGCTTCTTAAGAGATGTCTTTATGGAACAGTAAGGAGGACATCTGATAGATTACATTGTTTTCTGGTATCTGGTTTCTATCTCTCTGTCTAATTTATCATCTTTTGGAGATGCTCTCAAGATACTTGAACTCCTTACTTTTCAGTTGTACTTGTCTAGATGTTTTCACAATGCTTATTTCTGTCTTGGTCTTGCTGATACTCATATTATACTTCTTACAATGGACAAGTGATATAATGACCAAGCCTCTGGACTTTTGGAAGACCGTATTGTTCTCAGACGAATCAAGA